TTTTGTAATATTCAACATCCTACGGCATAAAAATGTACCATTAATGTACAAGTACTGCATGATACGCGTGTAGTTCCAATCTACCTTCCACCTCCGGACTCTGCTCTCTCTAAAATCTGCTGAATCTGTATTTTTTAAATTAATTGTTTCTGCTAATTTGTTGTATACTATCGGATAATCAAGGCTACTATAAGCAGAGCTTCACGTTGTGACTACGCATGAATTTTCAGGAAACTCAATATTTGATATGTTATCGAAGCATTTTTTAAAGTAAATATAAATCATAAATTAAATATATTAAATATATAGAATATTGTGTTGAGTAAAAAATATAAGCATATACACAAATTAAAATAGTATGGTGGTATAGCTATGTTGAATAATAGTAGTTTATGCAATTAGTTTATAATGTTAAGCTTTATTGCGTGAGTATATGTTTTGAAAACAAGCGACTTTAGGAGCGAGTTTTCAAATTTGTACGAATGTAATAAAGCAACATTTTAAATGAGTTGCATACTATTTTTTTTTGTTTAACAGCATTATACATTTATAAGAGAATCAAACTTAATTTTGCCAAACAACTTCCCTGTGACCACTCGGGTATTTGACATCGTGCGAGTAAATGGTGGTCGGCTGTTCCGTTTAGCTCTACCTCGCCCCGATTCTCTCGCTACGATTGGCTGAATGTGTGATGACGCAATCATTCATGATATAAAATCTAATAAATGCCCGATTATGAACGATTTCTTGCAACAAAAAAGGTTCTTTTATAATGCTGGAATGCAAAAACTTATTTCATCCTTTTCAATTCTTGATGTTTTGCGGCCTTCCATTCTAATTGTACAATTAGTATCTGGAAACAACTAGTGTCAGAAAAGTGATTACGTTTGAATCATTGTGATGTGCTCTTCAATATTCATTACTGACATGACTATAGTTTGATAAACCGTAACCAATGCAAGTGAAAACATGGTATCAGACGGCAATTTTTCATGGTCTTTCCAATGTTATCTTATTTTATTTATTTTTTATTTATATTTATATTATTTGAAAAGGAATCTTCCATCACAGAGTCTCCACTACTGACCAACCTATTCTTGATGCTACTTCGGTTGTCGTTTCTCATGCAAATCTCTGTCGCGCACAGGTGGCTGCTGCTGAACAGCACGGACCCAGCGCGCGAGCTGCAGTGGTTCATCTACGAGCTGCAGAACGCAGAGCTCAAGGGGGAGAAGGTGCACGTGATCGGTCACATCCCGCCAGGCCACTCCGACTGCCTCAAAGTGTGGAGTCGCAACTACTACCGCATCATTAACAGGTAAGCGACACCTCGTGGTGAGGCCGCCGATAGAAATCCGCCCGCCTCCCCGGTAAGGGAAGGTGGCCCTTCCACAAAATTATATAAAATTGTTTTATCTATTGTAAAAAGGATGTTAACACTGTGTGTGACGTATGGGAGGGAGGAATACAATATGGGCACATTTTTTGACCTCCGAAATCCACATCCTCTCTCCTTTATACTATGCAACACTTGTTGAAGTATGAATAAACCTAGCAGTAAGCCCGACCTTATCCTGCCCCGGTCCACACGCAGCTCCACCCTGTCCCTCCTCACTATGCCATCTCCGTTCTCCATATCATGTTTACTTCGATCATCATTGCTACGAGTATAGCCAGATGTAAAATAGATGCATTGTTACTTATTCCGGTACACTCTCACTAACAATTTTGGTATTTGATTACTTCAAGCCAAATGGGTTGGTTGGTGCAAAGGAATTTTAAGGACTTTCAGAAATATTTAATTACGTTTGGAAGTTTACTTAGTTTTTTCGCGAAATCTGAAACCGTGCATACTTAAAATTTGCTTTTAAGAGTTACAAAGGAAGATGGGGTGATTTCGCAATATCTCACGAAGATAGTAACTTTTCTATTGTTTCAAAGTGAAGTTTCTTGAAGAATCCTAATCTTCGCGTGTATTGCGCAGGTACGAGTCTACGATCGCGGCGCAGTTCTTCGGGCACACGCACTTCGACGAGTTCGAGCTGTTCTACGACACGAAGGACCTGGGGCGGCCCGTCAGCGTGGCGTACGTGGGGCCCAGCGTCACGCCCTACTTCGACCTGAACCCGGGCTACCGGCTGTACTACGTGGACGGCGACCACCCACACACCACCCGGGTGCGTAGCGCGCCCAGGGGCGATGCTCTTCACAAGGCTGGGGAGAAGTTTTGGGAGGGGGGGATTTCCCGACTTTTCTTGGAAAGTGATTGAAATTAAATTATTAAACCAAAAGTATTCCATGTACCTTAATTTCAATTTTCTTGGCAAATGTTACTTATTTCATATTTAATTGACATTTAAGAGATCGAAGAATTAACATTTATTTAATTATTCGATTTATTTATGTGGATTAGTAAATTAGCAAGTCATATTATTCTTCGAATAATTGTTCTAAAATGTCAGAAATTGTTTTGAAACGTATAACTCGTTTCAATTATTGTTAACGGTCTTATATCACTTGGTGTTTTCTAACATATTTACTACAATGTGCTGCGCTGTTCTCTTATGTTTACTTTTTTCACATAGTACTAATTTAGTTTTATTGAGAACATTATAATGCGTTTAGGTCCATGTTGATTAGTGGATGATGAATTCGATTTTACATGCGACATCTCCAAGTAATATCTAATCTATCATCTGGGTTATATCACATGCCCTATTTTACTCAAAATATTGTAGAATACATGGAAACATATTTTAAAGCTTCCAAAGTTTCCTCAAAATCGCTTCTCTTATCCAAGTAAATCTAAGTTTAATTTTCTTGTCTTTTATATTAATTATGTGGGAACAGGTGACCCCAGAAAACTAGTACCCAGATGATTGCAAAAATAAATAAAAATATTTTGTTTAAATACTTCAATAATCGATTTAGTGTTGAGACGAATTATGTAAATAGGCGGATTTACTCGTATGTTCTGTGCTTGCTTCTGTGCGTGCTGTTCTGCGACGTGCTTTACCGCCGTTTTGCTCCCGCGTAAGTGAGCGAGAGAGAGAGAGAGAGCACGTAGCACGTGGTGTGCGTGTGTGTCCGCAGGCGGTGGTGGACCACGAGACGTGGGTGCTGAACCTGAAGGAGGCCAACTTGTACGACTACCCCATCTGGTACAAGCTGTACAGCGCGCGGGCGGCCTACCACCTGCCGTCCCTGCTGCCGCGAGACTGGGACGACTTCCTCAACCGGCTGCCGGCCGACAAGGAGCTCTTCGACCTCTACTACAAGTGAGCTCGGCGCGCGCGCAGGGGTCGCCGTTGGGTAGGGAGAGGGGCTGCTCGGAAGACCTCGCCCGCGGAGGAGAGGAAACGATGGGAGAGAGTCCTGTACAAGCGATCTGTATTGTACGAGAGAAACACTCACTCCACTTCAGTATTTAAATACTCTTATAGACATGAACACATTATTATTATTATTATTATTATTATTATTATTATTATTATTATTATTATTATTATTATTATTAGTCACTCGACATCAAGTTGAATGTCTGCATTATGTTTTAAATTACCAATTTAAAGCGTGAACGTTTTATATTTACCATAATGAAACTTTGAACACAATGAAGAGAACGCTACAGTTTCAATGTGATGTAACCTCAAACTTAAAGAGGCATTGCGTTGCCCGTGAGATACAAAACTTTGGTTTACCCTGATATACAGAGAAAATAAGACGTTGCGCAGCAGGTACAATAAATTTATAAAACAGTTTTTCTCCAACTGTGAAATAACCATAAAGCGTGATTCATTCTCCTTCTGCAGGAAAGTCTCATTCAGATGCAGCAAAGACAAATTGCATAACAGGCCTCATATTGAAAATATCGTACCCACATAAAAGCAGTTGAAAGCATTTGTGTAATTAAATTGATAAGTAACAAAATCGATGGTTAAATGTGTTTCTATGTCGTGCTCTAAATCGTTGTTTCATATAATTGAGACTTAAACGTGTCGCAGTTTTAAAAAAATGTTTTCAAATTATGTTTGAGTTAAATATACAAAAAGCACTACCAAAATAACAAAATTCTTTGTGAGCGAAACAGGAGCAACTTTTGTCGTAAAGGCAGGTAAACTGAAGAACCCTTCTCGTTACCCTGAAACATTTGCAAACAAGTGCGTTGCGATAAGACGCATTCCAGGCGCCAGAGGGTACCCGGGATTAGGCCGATCCCTGGAGCGCAGGTAAACCCTGGGGGCGGGGGGATTGTTCAGGTATAGTCTGCATTTAGTCAAAAGGGCTCTCCGAAGGGAGGCAAGGCACCGTACCAGGTGTATGCCTGGACCGAACTTACATAAGCCATTAGTTGTCTATGAAAACCTTTTGTCGGGTTGCATTGTTTGCCAGAACATTGCAAATGAATCTAATGCAACTGGCAAGTTTTTCTGGAGAGAAAAAATTAGAAATAATAATAATAAAAAGTAATAATAATAACTAATAATAATAATAATAATGAATAATAATAATAAAATAATAATAACATTTATTTCGGTAACCATTACTTTGTGAAGAGGCTCGTTGTTTCAACGGAGAGTGGTTCACTGAAATAACAAAGTTGTTACTGCCTTATACTTTTAATACGATCTAATGAAATAAATTTCCTGAATTATAAATTGTCGTAATAAAGTATTTATAATTTTAGTAATGTATTAATTCGCTCTAAATCATAAATGATTTGCAGCGAATATGCTTCGCAATTCACTGATAATCTGAAAAATACTCGTACTATTTCCCATGATATAAAGAGCAATATATCTAATTCTTTCAATACTTGAATCATTTACATTTAATTTTAATCTAATTCTGAAAATTTTTTAAACTTTATTAACGTGCACCAATTATATGTCATGTGAAATAATATTAAATTCATTTTAAAATGTAGAGCATCTAATTTAGCATTGTTTTATGTGTTAATTCAGTGTCACGACCACTTGAAAACACACGTTTTTGAGTTGCTACGCGTTGATCTGTTTTGAAGGACGACCGCTTAATTCCACTTCTGCCCCCAAAGCAAGCCCAAGCCCGAGCGTGGAGTGTGAAAGGCGGGTGGCCCTGTCCGCAGGCACTACTGGAAGAGCTCGCCCGAGCGGCAGGCGTGCGACGCCGACTGCAAGAAGCGCCTGGTGTGCGACCTGCGCTCGGGCCGCTCGCACGACCGCCGCGCCCTCTGCCAGGAGCTGGAGAGCCGCGTGGACGCCGGCACGCGCACGGGCTGGCGCCAGTGGCTGTACAACGGGCTGGCGCTCTCGTACGTGGGCGGCGCCTTCGGCTGGGTGCAGGGCGCCGTGTGGGAGGCCGTGGACCCCGACGAGTGGGACACGGCCGCCGACTAGACACTCACACACACACACACCTCCTCCCAGCGCGACAACTTTTTGCAGTACACGGCGATTTACCTTGACCGGACAAAAATCAGACGCGACAGTACGGCACTCGCCATAATATATTATACATATATTACGTATTAATATATTATACATATTTTATAATTATGTTACCTTTAATTTTTCTCACTTTAACAAACACCTGTAATAATTGTTCAGGACTTAATGGGATGTTGGTCCTTGAAAACTTGTTTCTTACTTAGCCAACATTTCGGGAATATCTATTGTTCCCTCATAAAGCAGGTAGATTTTCTTCCGAAATGTTGGAAATTAAAACAAATAGTTCCATTCATCCACATCTCACTAAAAACTGAATAATAGCATTTAATATTATTATTTTTTAAACACTAATAGTTGATACATAATATTTATAAACTTATATTACGATTATCATATCGCTGTGGTTTATCTGGTCAAGATAATTCGTTATGTGCGTCATCTGTTTGTCCAAAAATTTCTCGCACCCCGCCCACAAGGGCTGCGCTTACTTAAATGCGCAAAAAATCACCCAATGCCTGATTCGCATGGAAGAGTGAGTGAACGATAGAGTTCGTAGGAAAAGCAATTTCACGATCCAGATACTACCCATTCAATATAAAACACGAAAAGTAGCACTTCCTCGCAGGATTTGGATTCGAGATTTCGTAAGGGTCCGTCCATAAATAACGTAACGCAAATTTGGAGTATTTTCACTACCCTCTCTCCCCGCTGTAACGCACCCGTAACGCGCCCCCCATAATTATTACGTAACGCTTGCGACAACCCTCCACCCCCCTAAGTAAATGCAAAAAAGTGAAAATAAATTATTGTTCAGTAAAAAAAAATATTCAATTCATTCAGTAACAACTTTTAATAACTTAACATAATTTTGTTTTAAAACAAATTAATTAGGTAATATTTTCATGTTTTAGTGTATTTTAAATGTTAAAGCATGTAAAAAAAATTTAATGTTACATAACACTAATGGAGTACTCCCATACCCCTATGTAACGCAGCGTACCGCTGCCTCAAACTCCTTCCCCCCTCTTTAGCGTTACGTAATTTGTGGACAGCCCGTAAGGCGCATGAAGATATAGAGAAATATCCGTGGAAACATCTGTTTAGGTCTTTCGTTCTCTTGAAAATTAAAAACAATTATTAGCCATGCCTTCATGGAATTCTCTGGAAGCATCAATGGATGAGGCATTCGAAATATTACCAGTAATTTTAGCAATCGTACGAGAATAGAAGTTACCTCGAGAATGTAATTCTTACGATGTACATAAGTAGTGTAGAAAAAAGTAGGCACGACATTTTCGACGTCAATTTCTATATATTTCTTTAAAACTTATTATATTGTATTTTCTTATTATGATGTAGGCTACTTAAGTGTTCAGAACTAAAAAAATACAGATTATGTTTCCAATTCGTGCTACAATTTTTCAAGTAGTGCATTTCCTCAAAAAGAGGCTTAGAAACATTAACATCATTAATCGTGTACATTGGATGTTTTCATTGTGTTTCCCACTCAGAAAGTGTAAATCAAATCCCTTCACTTATTGCGATTCGGTCCACAGTTTACAGTCATTAATCTCCGCATCTCCTGCAATGGGAACCAAATGAAACATCTTTAACTTTTATTTCGCGAGGACGGGCTGCGAACTGCGAAACGTCTTCAACTCCGTCCAGTTCACTCTTCCGTTCGTTCTGCTCCTCCAGCGCATGCGAATCAGGCCGCCCGCGCCGCCTCGCGCCTCGACCTTCGGCCATTTCGGATGTCGCTCGAGAGGCGAGGGCGGCCGAGGGCGTCCACTTGACCCCTGACCCCGACTGGCGCGTACGCGCCGCGCGCCAGGCTGCGAGACGTCCCCCGCCGTGCTCCCGTCTTACTGCCGCCTCCCTAAGTTACCTTCCTTCCTATCAACTAACTTTTGAAATCAAGCGTACAATACTCCTGCGATTTATTACTTTTATATTCGATTATTTTATTTGAGTACGTTTCACAGTTTAACTATCGTGTAGATGAAAAATAAATCAGAAACATCCTTCACGTAGTTTGCCGAAGATTATGACGCGTACTTAATTTAAGTGTAAGGATTTCCAATCAAGAACGTATCGAATTGTTGTTAGTTTTCGAAAGTTGTGAAATTAACAAGTACGAAGGCGTACGTAGTCCATTATCCAAATCGCCCTTCTATCACATAGAAAGCAAAATAATCTGCCCGCCGAAGCCACTCCTTCTTAGTAGAGAACTGCACAGAATCCTTCACTGAGAATCAATTCTTGTGTTGAGTGTAGCGTTGCTCCTCACGTATTAACATGGTCGCAACCTCAAAGTTCATAAGATTTGAGTGACCTCTGTGACGAAGTAGTAAAATGAAAGCTCCACGTTTCGATATTACATGTGCAAATCAAATGCAAAACCCACAAGTAAACGTATAATTATACAAAAACAAAATTGACTATACGTCTAATTTGCAACAAGTTAGATGAGTATCCCATCCAAAACCGCCAGTGATTTATGCGGTTTTCCCACTCCCTGTAGTTTAATTAAGATCTCACCTGAAAAATTCGTAACCTCCTTTGGTCAATATATTAGAAATTAGAAATAGGCGAATGCAGACCCGTCTAAGTGATTGATTAATGTAATCAAAGTTGTCTTCTTTGTCCTCAAGGTTAGTATCAAGTATTAGTAATCTTAGCGGACATAAATTAGAGGTAGATTTTTATCATTACATTTCATACAATTATTAGTGACTATCAGCAAAATCAGCGTACAAAATCATATTTTAAATTAATTTTAATGAATCACATTTTAAAATTCAAAAAATGACACTTTCCAAATGATAATTGTGTAAAATAAGGAAGAACTGTATATTTTCCTTTTGGATTTCTTTCTTCTTTACACAAATTGCGATCTGCAAAACTCGCGAAGACGTATCACATTTGACCACATATTTGAGCTCAAAGAAAAATCTAAAGTGAAGCAATATTCTTTATCTTTTCTGTGCATTTGTATTATTAATAAGTACATCTGTGTCTCAATAGAATGGAGATAATGGGAAAATGGAGAAGATTGTGGTTTCTCTGGTCTTTAAGTGCAATTATTCGAACACCTTACTCTTCATTTTTATTTCAATCACAAAAAAGTGATATGGAACTCTGCAGTTGAATTCATTTCATAAATGCAAAAATATATTGTCACACCGAAGATTTTCTTTAAGTTGCCTGCTAAATTGCTAAATTGTGAGTTTACAAAAAGAATCTTCCAATGTATTATTCTGATGTGAAGCAAAAACCGCCGTCACGTCTTTATATTAATTGTAACTATTATAAGACATGTTTCCACTTCGACAATCGAAGAAATAATGATTTATTTTAAAAACGCTTTCATAAATATAATATTTAAAATATATCGTGGCTTTACTTGCTTTGGAGATGGATACTTGATTAGTAAAATGCTACAAGTCTATGCAAATTAAAATGGATTATGAACAAACTGTTAGATACAGAAACATCCCGTGAGATATTTAATCAAATTACATAAACACCGTGACCCTCCTAAACATTGGATTCCTATTGTCCAATTTAAATATAGAGACTTGTGACAGATCATCAGCTGGACGCGGTCATTTAATTAGGAGCGTCATTATGACTTTAATTTTTGGTATTGAAATTCCCGATGAGATAATCGCGTCACTGCTGATATGTCACAAGTTACTATATTTAAATCGGGCATGAAGTCCGCTCTTGGCGCCTGAGCATTGGTTCTCCCTGACAAACTGCAAAGCGTTGCAGTTCCTTTCGCGTATTCATAAGCCCAGGTGTCAGCAGCGGAGCAGTTGCACGTCTGCAAAGGGGAGGACTGAACGAGTTTGCCTTCGCCCTTGCGAAGAGCAGGCGGCCACCACGGCGCGGCGCCCGAGACAAGCGGCACCTCAGTACGAACTTACACTCTGTTTAGAATGTGAACGTTAAAAACCGTCGAAGCAGGAAGACCAAGGACGTTTGTGCGGCTCGTCACACATACGAAGCTGTTTTCATTTAGCGAGGACTCCCCACACAATATTTTTGTGAATGGAGGTCACAATTCTCAAAAGCGACAAACTTAGTATAAAAACCAGTTAATAATTTACTGGAGTAAACATTACTGTGTTATAAAAAAGATCTAAACAAAATATTAAAAATAGCTGTAAAGAAAGGATTGTCTATTGAAGCAACAGTAATTTTTTTTCGGCAAATCTTTGAAAATATCAGAGTCAGATACTATTGGAACAATTCTTTTTATCAGAATAAAAATGAATGTTCGAGTAATAGCATTTTAGAAAAGAGTAATGTGCTAGTTAATTTTGTACTTTTTCAATTCATACTACAATACAATCTATAGAAGCGAGTGATGCTGTAAATTTGATGCTGATACGACCACACACATGTGAAATATCTTAGTTGTCAATCAATGAATAAACCTGCCAACAAAAGAAAAAAAGTAAAGAAATCAACCCTCGCGAATTTCCATTATATATTTCGGGAGAAATAGAAATGCTAATTAGTGTCTCAGCTGCAGTAGATCTAGTGAAGTACTATAATAGTCTGCGTTCATCCCAAGCAATTGTTCCTACTTTTAGATCAGTATTTCTCAGAGACGCCGGTACCATTTCCATTTAATAGTAGTGCAAGTTTCAATCATGATCATTTCTTCACTAAACTTTTTGTAATAGCTGTGTACCTACATTGTGGTTTCTTGTATCCACATCGTCCAAAATTTCAGGCTATATTCGATCAATTAGTAGCGAAGTTTTAGACAAAATAGCAATTTATCTACGTGAATCTAATAACCTCCCTTTAGAAAATCCCATCGAGTTCATAACTCCGGCGTAATTCTGACCTGCATAATTTGTTGCCACAAATGATCGACAGGGGCCCTCGCGCTTTGACGTGTTCCACAATTAAAAATAACACTCTTAATTTTGTTTCCAGGGTTCCTGAGATAACCAATTTGAAGTAAAGAAATTACTTTAATAAAAAATCTAATTTTATAAATTGTTTGAATGCCACTTCGTTTAGAGATCTGTTCAAAACAAGAGTTCTTAGGAATTGCTCCTGCACAACAGCCACCCGTTATACGGACACGTATGTGTTTCAAGTTTCAACATTACAATTTTCCCGAACCAGTACACACATTCATGACGTGAATTGAAAAATTAACAACTAAATATTAGCATGAAAACCATTGCGGTGTATTTTCGATTAATATACTTTTATTGACATCCATTTTTATTTGCGACGATATTTTGCCTATTTCTTTACACTGCCTTGAGGTTTATTCAGGAGAGGTTCCCGGGGACAATTCGCGATTTGAGCTTCATCAAACGAACCAGTCTTAAGAATCCCATTTCTCAGACCAGCCCAATCTCCCTCGCATGCTGTCTGTCTCCCGCCTGCCAGTGCACGGCGGCCGTCGCCAGCGAGCAGCGCTGCCCGCGCTTGGGGCCGGGGGCGCGGCCTCCGCAGGTGCCTTGAGCCAGCGATGTGACCGGTCGCCCGAGCAGGTCGCGCGCAACGCAGTGGTCGCATGTTCTCGATTAAAATGAGGCTCTGATTGACATTTTTCTTCAAAAAAACCTAAACGATGATGTAATGGAGCAACTTCTCGCCTACGTTAACTTTGATTTGTCGATTCAATGGAAATGCAACACCATTACATGTGTCAAATCACCTACTTTTATTAATCAGATCGTAAACATTCGCTCGCCGTGAACATAGTCAGCTGATTCAACGTAATATTGCAAGGTAACCTGCATACAGTCAAATGCATAACATCGCACTCTCGAAATTATCTGCCAGAGTGTATATTCAAATTAGCATATTGAATGAGATTACCATTTGACAGCACTTGTTATGCAAATAACAATGATGCATGCGGTTTCTTATCATTCCGGTCTTGTGCTGCCCCAATTTTTACCTAGCAGCTCTCTTTCTCTCTCTATTGAATGTGCAAATACACTTTTAAGCAGACTTCCTATGTCTTTAATATTTCAGAAACGAGAAAAGTATTACTACGGAACGAACCGTTGGTATGCATAACAGAAGCCGCAAGTCGGAAAAAATTAAGGATCAAAGAAAGCTTCGAAAGTGAGTTAATTGTATGTACACTGCTCGGGCATGGCTGACTCACATCGCTCCAAAATAGCGCATAGCATTTTAAGCTCGTGCTCAATAATGTATTCATATACCTGATAAACTGTGATGTTAGTTTGTAAGCTAGGCAGCATGTCAAATAGATCATCTAACCCTGTAACATGTACAGTGTATGCAGTAAAATTAGATGACATGTGGTGGTTGCTCCTATTATGTAAATACACTTAACTAACCTTACTCACTCTGTATAGTTATTGGTTTCACTACCATCACCTCTAACCTTTTAAATACGAATGCTATATTTCAAGTCTTCTGAAGGTTGCATGGTGGCTGCCAGGAAATACAGACAATATTCTGTCCTACAGGTAAGTTGGAAGCCCACCCATTTATCCACAGCACCCCTGAATGAATTTTCATATGTCAAGAGGAAACTAATGGAATTGTGCAACTCTACTAATTTTGCATGGTGTTCAAAGCACGAGGTGCGAGATACTATCCCGAGTGTTATTTTCATGAAACTCAGTTGACAATGCAAATCATTAAAAGACTGGTCTCAGCATCATTGCGCAGGTTGTATCAAGATAATCGTTCACATAATTGTAATCTTTATAGTTTTCATTTTTGAAAACTTTGTACTATAACTAAAACACATTAAAGTAATTGCAGCTACAAAACGGAACAAAATAAAACGTATTGAAATTAATATTTAGTAAATACTTAATTTATGTTTATCAATTCTATGTTCACAGGTAATAAAGGGACAAATGACAGTAAAATTCGAACATAGTTAATGAAATATACAATGTTAACGTAGATGATAAAAATGTTCATTTCCATTGTCATCTCGTTTATAAATTGAATTTTTTCAAGTTGTTATCATAAATGGCATTTTTATGTTCTCTTCCTTATTTTCAACAAAAGATAGGCAACAAGAGAATAATACACAAAATGCGCAATCTGAAAGTATTGGCACTTCAGTTCAGACATTAAATTCTCTAGCAACACGAGTCAGAGGAAGAAGTTTTGAAAATAATGTAGCACAAATTACAGAATGTTGCTTCTTCCGCGTTGTTTATTGCATCCCTGCACGGAAGCTAAATATCTCCAGAAAATCCACTTTGTTTAGTATATGCACTTTGCGAACAACGTTGGGAGATCTCTACGCATGATTCATGAATTTCGAGGAGACATTTTTTCTTATATAATCAGTGGTATTTCTCATATTCCAGGCAAACTGTCTTCTCTGCATTTCATTTATTTACTGAAGGATAACCTACAAGTTTACCTCCACTCTCTGCTCTCTATAATCTCCTTATTAATTCCAGTGCTAGAGAGTAGTAATAATAACCGAGGTAGGTAGAATAACAATATTTCACGTATTGTATTTTTAACAAAAAAAAAACAAAACAACAACAAACTATTTGAAACAACCTATTCATTTCATCGTATATTTCTTTTCCAAAAATTCATTTTGAAATTTAACTTGACAGAACATTGGTTGTGGTAGAACGTTTTTGTTGTCATTATTCCTAATTTAGCTTATTAGTTTAATGCTGATAACTTCCTCCAACGGGGACAATTAAAGTCTCATCCTGTAGTACAGTGGTATTTTTCTTACCTCTAATAAACTATATACTGTAGTTCTCTTGTTTGAATAATTGAAATACATTGTTTGAACAATGTATCTACATCCTCTTTTGTACATACTACTAGGTTTTTCTTCCCCTGTACAAATGTGGGCCAAACGTCTTATATGGTGGAAGTGGTGAGGTGTCGGTACTTATTGATATCTTCTCTGAGCGCAATTTGCTAATAAGTGTGTGTTTACAGCATGTCGGTGCTGATGGCCATACCGAGCATTACCTACCAAATGCTGGGTTTTGGCTAGGGGCAGGAGGCACATCTGGCAGGTTCCAGTGCCAGACCTTTGGCAGTCTTCACCACTCAAAACCACGGCTGCTGAATGTCAGATGCTCATCTTAGAGAGCATCACACATCTCAGGGACGACGCAGATGTGTGTGGTGCATGAGTGGAGGATAAAGTATTATGAAGTCGTGTGTGCTCCTTACACCAAGTGGAAATCTAGACAGCGCCGAACTAAAATAGACCAAATAATGTGCTCCACATCTACAGATCTCGATTAAACACCAAATGCAACATGGTTGAACATGTACAAAACCTATCAGCCTAGCTGAAAATGTTAGCTGTACTAGGACAATAGATCTAGCAGCTCTAAAAGACAATTTTTGCACTTATTCGTTAGCATTCCTAAAAAACATCCAACTCGTCAACATACTTCATTTAATTTCTGCACGAAGTGCTGTTCAAAAGTACGTGCGGTGTATAATGTCGACAGTGAAAAATATCTCGTGAACCACTAAACTGCCATCCGAAATGCCTGACCTTAAGGAAAGGAAATTAGTATTCTACTAGTAAAACTAGAAGCAGAAGCGGGTCTATCCGAAAAGAAGCAACACAGAAGCCAAGCTTCACATGGAGGGAAAACGTCTAACGACGAACACCAACAAAAGGGCGTCCAAGTCCGTACGTCAACTGACCTTTTCTTCCTTGAAGACGCGGAGCCGGAAGCAGTCGGACCTTCGGAAGTCGTGGTGCGAAGGCCGGCGCTTTCTCACCGGCAGGAATCGACAACCTGCTACACTGAGGATTGGAGACAGACTCAGCGTGTGCCGAGACTCCAGAGACAGGGGCCGGAGGGGAAAGGGGGGTGGGTGGGGGTGTACGAAGTCAGCTGTCACGGAGCTCCACTTACGCAAGCAATTGTTTCCCGGAGTGTTCTCAGTATCAGAGGTAGGAGTGATTTAGTAGGGCTAGAAATTAGCACCAGAGTAAAACCAAACGTCAACTAATTGATACATTACAACTGCTAATCGAAATGACTGACCTTAAGGGAAGTAAAATCAGTAACAGGGGCGCTAAGGTAAGGTAGTCGATACATAAACAAAGTTTGGGCCAAGTTTGAGAGCCATCTTTTCCAGTGTCAAATCAGCTTTTTAAAACGTCAAGTTTCACGCAACACTTATTCTTATACTATTTTATCACCCTCTTATTTGACAACTCTTTTTTCTACCATTAAAATAATTTAATGAACAATGATATTTCAGAAGTTTCTTAAATAAATAAAACAATTATACTAGATCTGCAGGGATGATTCTATTTACGATGGCTATCTGAAAACGCAGCCTACTTAGTCATTTTTCACAAGTCCTACCTGACAAATTGTTAAACATAATCCACTATTACTCGAGTTTCAGCGCTTTTCGCTCAACGAGAAACCAAAGTTAAATTCTTATGCAATACCGACCTACGAGTTGGAGACGTTAGTTACCACGCCACCAATCGACCGCTCATGAAACGAGTTCGATTGCAGGCGCGCCCTCTCCATCCCGAACACAATGCAAAGAATTGTTCTTGCAAGCTCCACTTATGCCTAGGCAGGTGCAGGGCTTCGTACGTGCCACACGTACGCGCACGCCCTACCAAGGTCGCCAGTGCTTACGGTAGAGCTGGTAAAGGCCGATAACGTTATCGGGCCATTCAACAGCGACCTTCTCGTCCATTGACGACGTTCGCTTTAAATGCTCTGGAAGCGGTCTGTCATTTACCCAGGGTCCCCGACGTGTATCCCATCTAAAAGACCAATCTCTAGGGAGATGTAAAGGTGGGGGTTTGGAGAGCAAGTCAATAAAAGCATTCTTTGTAAATTGAAATATGTAATTAAAAACTATACTGAAATGACCGTTGCTTTTATAAAAATAAATATAATACTTGCATAATATTTACATAGTTCTTATTTATAAAATAATACATTTTGTACAAGTGTTCAGGTACTATTTCCTGACTTGAGCAATATAAACATTTAGGTAACATGGCTGTGAAAAAACTATTCCAACATGTCAATTAATGCCTAACAGGTTGAGATTCCACAGTCAAAGAGAGCAAATAGTTTACACAAGGCAAAATACTAATGGCATATTAAAATTGTATTAATCTCATTTTAAAATACTGAAATAAGTGCCACTTAACTCGCATCAATACCGCAGGGACTTAGTATTCTCTGAATTTCGAGCAATGAATATGGTAAGGTGGCATACAATACAACAGCAAATATAAACCAAATACAAAATTATAAAATGAGATTCATATTGCACAAAAAGAAATGTGGCATAAAATGCTACAGATAGATAGCAATCTGACAAACAAAAGAAGTAAGGTTCATCAAATTACCAGATTTACACAAGAAGGGAATGCAAAGGCACTCATCTACATAAACACATTTACACAATTAAATAAAAAGTAAGAGCTTTCATAGACAAAACACATTGCTAGCAGAGCATTGTAACATAAATACTGCAGCTACAGAATGTTTATCACAGTTACTTATCACTCTGCTAAGTTGGCAGGCTAAATTTTCAAACCCCTCTCTTGAAAAGGACTCAATGAAGCCTTATGAGGGCAAGTGAAGCAAGCACAATTTCAAAAATAAATACAATAATCACAGACGTCTAAGATTACGGCGTGATTCTTTGCTGCCAATACAAATCTTACGGCGCACAGGAAGAGGACTACGTCCACGACAGGGTAAACCTTCATGAATATCACACAAACAAAACACACAAAAGCTATACTGGCAGCCAACAGCTTGACATTGAGCATAATCAGATGTGGCTTGTGACGGATGAGAGCATCTTGGACAGCGAATGAGGCGTGTTCCTTCATCTAGAGCAATTCCAGCCTGCAATCAAATGTATGCAATGAAATATATTAAGGAACTTTGGGTAGGTACTGAAAGTTTTGAAGAGATAAAATGAAGGCTTTTACAACACAGCAAACTGAAGTATGATGGTTAAAATACAATAATTCAAAACAAATGTTAAAGCAGCAAACAGTAAATTTCTAACCCAGTGAGATTTATTATGGTCAGGTGCAGATCCAGGGGGAGGAAAATTTCCCTCCACTAAAATGTTCCAGTAACTATTAATTAACTTTTAACAAAACTCCAGCAAAAATATTTTCAGATAATCATTAAAACAAAAGAATCGTATTGCAGCATGGGCTGAGTTTAACCAGCATGGGCTGAGTTTAACCAGCAACATATTACAAAATCTGCAATGACATATTCAACCAAAACATTTTAATTTCCCCTCCCAAAATTTGTTTCTGGATCTGCCCCTGCTATTTTTTTTTTTAAAGAATTGCTGTCTTAAATCTTTGAATTTTTTTCTCTTCAACACTAATATCTAGTTTACCTTGAAGAAAAGTTTGAAGCGCACTTTACTTGGACTGACAGGTGGGCTCCGAGGAGTACTAGGTGGAGTTGACGAGTTGCTACCTCTTCTGTCAGTATTTTGAATCTCTCTGAAAATTCCCTTATTTGAAGTCAGTGTAAGGTTTAGAGAATGTCCAGTTTGTTTGAATTTTTCCTACAAGAAAACAATTTATTCTTATATAAAAACAATTTATAGACAAGTCACAAATAAAATAAAAAAAAACATGAAATGTGAATAAAACACACACATTGAAAGTTTAGTAACTACGTAAGTATGTTTAGTAAAATGTAAGTTCAAATAAACTTCACTGAAAGCTTTGAAATTGTATAAAGTGACAATCCAATGATTATTATTAAATTCCACTATGTTCTGAATAAATTTATACATTTTTATTAAAAGCACAAAACATACCCATGTTATGTTCTCCTTAGCATGTTTAACATGCCGTACATGCGCCAATCGCCTACGATTAGCCACAGGATCATCAACACATATTCTTCGCCATTCTGATGATACTAAGCACACAGTAACTAAATCCTCCGGATGTAAATAACTCAGAATCCTGGAAATTATTACGGGGAAACTACCCGAAACACCAGCAAAATGCGCTAAAAAATCTAGGCGAGATACTCCACAGTAATTACACTGACGAGGTAAACAGTGTCCTATGCTTTCAGATCGTTCATGGGTAAAATTAATATCTTGTTTAAATTTCTTGGCAGCAATTTTCCCAAGAAAAATACCGGATTTCTTCTTCGAGTTCACAGATCTGTTTTCTAGTTTTGAACGAAGCACAATCTTTTCCTCGCGTGAAGTACGCACTTCTGCAACTGTCTTTGTATCACTCACTGATTCATCAACGAGTAAGTGGCTGAAACATTCAGCAAGGGTTCCATTTTTGTCATTAGCTGGACTGTACAGACTATCTTTTTTTTCATCCACAGCAGATGGGCAAGAATAACGTAAGCCATCTTCCAAGTATTCGTTGACATTTTCCAATTTCAAACTCGTATAGTTCTCTCCGAGATGCTTTCTTAAACTACTTAACTTCAAAGCTTTTTGACTCGTTAAAGGTGTATCATATATGCCATGTTCATTTGGTCCACGGACCGATAGATTATTAACACAGTTTTTGTCAGGAGAATCGCCGCACAAAGTACTTGGCGTCGTCGTAATATATCCACTATCATTTGAGAGAGTAGGCGTACATTCCGGGTGGGTTTCTTCAGAGATTTCTCCAGCATACATATTATCCATCTGGAAAACATCCAAAATTAAACAAAGCAAATTATTTCCACAAAATAATTGTGAATCTCGCGGGAACGCAATGTACAAAACAACTGAAAGATACAAACAATGCATACATCATACGCGAATAATTCATTATTTGTGACAGAAACATACATTGCTTATTACAAATATAGATTCAGAAGATTTCCAATAACTAACATATTGCTCTAAATCACTTACCGTGAACTCCTCTCATAGAAGGGAGGCAAAATATAACGCACGCAAACGCTTACTACCACACATCAACAGACATCTCCTTCAGTCGGTAAGCTACTATTCGAATTTCCAGCTCTTGTAGAATAGAAGTGGCGGCTACGAACTGGCAAATGTGATTGGCTGAGAGTTGTAGGGAGGTTCTCTTCAATACCGATTCTGTTTGGTTGTTTGGAACCACGTGATTGTGAGAAAATAGTAAGTCAAAGCAGCCAAACTAATGTAACCAAATTATCATAATATTGAAAGAAGAAATTACATCAATGCCAGCGTGTACATGAAACATAAACAAATCACAAATTTCTCTCCGAATAATATTTCGTGAGGGAATTATGATCCCTTTTGTACTTTTGTCAAACAAATAATTTATGGATAATGTTTGCATCCATGAAATTAACATTTCTATCACGTTTGCTGCATTGCTTAACAGATTCATTTGTTTTGATGCCACACTTGGTCGTACTTGGTCTGACAGCGTGGTGAAGAGTGGCAACGAGTGGTGTAATAAACTTGCGTGAAAACAATATAAATCTGGAGTGGTATGTAAGTTATAATTCAATAAATGGTATTTGTAGTATTCACACAGATAGAAGTAAAGGATGTTATGTTTAACGATTATTATTACACTTCAGATAACATTCAACGGAAAGATTATTTACAATAAAATCTTGATTGACGAGCTGCCTTTGAGGGCTTCAATTTAGGAGCACGAAACTTTGTGAGTAATCATGTTGAAGCATATTACAAATTATCTGTAGGTGCGTGTTTTTTTCGAAATTCATTGTGCAGAAATTTTTCTTAAATAACTTAAACCTATAACCTTCCTAATTGTTTGTAAGAATAATTTTTTTATATGTATAAATGGTAGACCTATTTCATGTCTAGCGATAAAGGAAATATGGATTCAAGTGCTCCCAAAGAGACTTCGACCACAATGATATATACTTGTGGTGGTAAGTATGTGATCTTTGAGATTTGATTTGTAGACATTTAATTCCTTGAATTAATGGATAACTTTATTTCAGAGTGCCATCACGAAAATGAAATTAAACCAAGGGATCCTATTCGATGCAGAGAATGTGGTTACCGTATCATGTACAAGAAACGTACAAAACGATGTATCCTTTTATGGACCCAAGCTCCATTTTAGTTCTTGGGAAGTTTTGATGGGTGTGGGTTTTCACTTTAACACACTGTTAAATATTAAGAAGTTGGCGACGCCATGTATGGTGTATTATTAGGATCCAGATATTAACGACAACAAAAATACTTATAACTTATTAAAATGCTTACTTTCACTCCACTTTGGCAATGGGAAAGAACCTTCAATATTTTAAGTTAACCATACAAATGGAGTAATAAATACCCACTCTTGTAATTTGTATTACTGCATGTCCTTTGTAAGGCAATATAATGTGAAAAGTTGGAGGTGGAAATCAAGGTACAAACAGGGCAAGTAGACTGATGCTTTAGATTCATGCCAAATTCAGAACACCAATGGGTGAAGCACAGGGTTTCGTGAAAGTACTAAATGTAAACCATAGCACTAAGTTTTGGATTGTGGAAGGCCCCAGCAAAGGAAGCTGTAAGTTGTGCATATTAAGGCTGGAGGCTCATGAGCACATTTTAATGAACGTGAAAACACATCTATTGAAGTTGATACAAATAGGGCATGGTACATGAGATGGATGTGTGTTGTCTGTTACTCATTGCCTGAGTGCTTGCAGCCAAACTTTCCAGTAGTTTTCTTGTATCCTTGGTTGTGAGAGATGTAGAATTGTCAGGATATTTCGTTAAATAAGTTTTTAAACTTGTATTTTTGAATCATTGTATTTGTTCCTTAATATTGAAAACAGTGGTGGTGTTTGATGCAAGATAACTTTGAAGAATTTCAAGAACATCTCAATGTACATATGGAATTTTTTTTATATATTTTAAAATATAATAAATATACAGGAGATAAATGAATTTATTGGCAGTTTCTCACATTTATCATTCATTGTTCTCATCCTCACTATAAACACACATTGTAATGAATGCCGATCATAACATTAAAGCTTGTACAAGGGGTGGGTGCAACATAGATACAGCCCAGTGTAGTACTACGTACAAAATAGGTTTGTAGCAGAAACAACAACAAAGCAACAAACGAGTGATTGACTTACATTTCTGGAAGTAATAAAGCATCTTTTAGATAAATTTATATATACATGAAAGAACATATGGTTTTTAACATTTGCTTGTGGGTGGTGAGGCTCTTGCACACAATTACAGATTTGTACTGCTGTGTATTTTACTCCGCTTACATGCCTCTAGTTCCATTCTTACATTAAACTATGGAAGGTTTCGAAGGTAGAGGCATTTTTTTTTTGCCATCAAAAATGGACTTTTAAAAAAATTTGTAATAAAAATTGAACTTCACTAGCAGGCATGCAGTCACAATCTGCCCCACAATTTCAGCAGTAAAAAACCTTGAGCTTTTTATTACCTAACTAATTTCGAGATCCAAGCTATGCCCCCATTGCAAAGATCTGCATCACCTTTTCAGAATCATTTAAAATTGCATTTGTAAAGTAAAATAGATGGCATATGCATGTGTTTTCATAGATATGAATTCAGAGATTCAATTTTAAAAAGACCTTTCATTTGATGGCGAGCATGGCCTCTAATACTTTAAGCACTTTTGAGTTGGAATTTTCTTGTACAATGCCACCTTAATATTCATGGAAGGCAGAACACTGCACGTCTGCTTGTGGTTCATGAAATATTTGAATTGCACATTAACACTACGTAATACAAGTTAATCGATGCCAATATGGCACACTTAATGCTCATCTTCCCTGGACACCATTGCAAGGGCTTCTTCCCTAAGACGCAGGACGTCTTAACCTCACAATATGAATCGAGATACATTTTAATCAGACAGTATTTGGTTAAATTATCTTTGTGTGAAGGCAATACCCGTATGAAAATAGTAAGACAGTTCTAGAAAATTTAAAATCTTGGATTTACAGAAAGGACTACATGTTAAAATTTAATGTTATGCAATACTGTGAGGAGAGAGTAATTTTGCGTCTCAGTGATGTCACCCCTCAAATTACATATTAAGTTGATTTCCCGGCAAATGGAAAGTATTCCATTATATTACTACATTTAATGTTATAGCTAGAACTGTTGAACAGTTGTGAATTAGAATTCAAATGGCACAACTCATAGGGACAGGCACTCAAGTTACAAAATCCATTAATAATACTCTAACAAATGCGATTGTTATCACACATGGGATACACACATACATATAAAATTATTGATAAAATTCAGTTGATTGACATTTAAGTTGCTATCAAATTTCATTACAGGGACAGTAATGACCTCACCTTTCACAGCAATATAAAGTCCTCAATAATTCAATTATTCAGTGCATGAAGTACCAAGGATTCTTGAAATGGAAGCGAATTTGCGACCATATGTCCGAGCTGCCCAAACCAGCACCATGCAAAGGGCAGAGAAGACCACGCCTACCAAGGCGGTTAACCTCATTTTTAGATATATATATACACACACACAATAATTATGAAAAACCAATTAAGTGGTTGGGTATATTGTTCATCCTTACAGTCAGTTCTACAAAGAATTTAAAAACAATCACAGAATTTTGCACAGATTAAAGCAAATGTTGTCATTGCCCCCGTGCAGTCTGGACATGTGGTCGCTGAGGGAGGGACAGAAGTAGCTGCTTACATCTAACTCTCATGACTATGCCATTTCACAGTGCACAATATCTTACAAATTATGTCAACATGAGTCGCATCTCAACAAGTAAAGCATAAAAATGGAACACTAATGTGGGAGTGAGCAAGCTTCTTGGCAAGAGGTCCACCATGTCCTGACCTTCTGCCAGATGTTGTACCATGCCTGTATTCACCAAAACAACACTTGCATGTTGCACTTCATCCATTAGCCTTAATATAAATATAGATTTGATGGTATTCGATACCATCAACTCTCCGTGATAAGGATAATAAATTATCTAAATTTCTGTACAAATTGGCAAGGAAATAAAAACAAAACATCCTTTTATAAAACAATTTGAATGTGGCTCTAAATTAAATGCACTGTAATGGGCTTCAAGAACAGTCTTATCCCTGTTAAGATGGGCAGTAATTTGCATTGGTCCATTTAATTCCTATATACAGAAGTTGATGCATTGGTGTTTTGTGACTTAAAACTGTCGTCTTGTGCAATTAACACAAGTATGTGACCATGACCTGGCTGAAGTTGCATGCTGGTCTTGAGAATGACTTCATTTGTCAGCAGCTGCCTTCTCAGCTAGCTGCATAGCATTCTTAACAGCTCAAGCAAAGTACATAACTTTCTTGGTGTCTGCATGCACAGTAATGGCTCTTGCCATTGCTCCTGGAGTGCGATCTTCACTGCTGCCCGACTGATGAGAGCCCTCCCCACTGCAACAATAACACATTTTCAGCAAAATTGTTTGAACAATATCTACATTTCATTTTTTCAATAAAGCATTCTAAATAAATGAAAATGCAGATTTTTTATGACAAAACAAGAGAAATATGGAGGAAGAAAAAGAAAAGGGGACAAAAGGATGTGAGTTTATACAGAAAATGTGCTTCATATGTGATTGCACTGCTTCACTGATCGCTACTGAACAAATTACTTCATAAGTCAAAAGACATATTTTAATAACCAACTTATGAATAACCTGCCGAACATGAACTTGCAGCTTCTCATTCAGAAACATCACTATGTACTTTGTACTTATCAGAAGATTTGATATCTTGTAATAGTTTGATATTACTTATGAGGTTGTAGATTTCCTCACACTCCTCAGGTCTTGAAAATAAATTTTTAAAATTACAAAAGCTTAAATTAGTATTGGTAAAATGTTTTTTCTACATCAATCCAAATGGAGTTCACAATTGAAAATATTTTCATCACAGCATTTTTGGCCCAATATAACAAGAGCAAAACTCCCAACCACGTGAGTTTTACATGGATTGCCTCTATGTACAAATGTGTGGAAGACATTACATCAGTTTTTATCAATTTACATTATCTTTTTCCCATTCCTCAAATTTTCTGGATAAAAGTTGTGTTAAAATGTAAGAGCAAGCAACGTAGCGAAAACCAGATTGAGTCTAGGAGAGTGAGGTTATACCAAGAACGAAAAAACAAGATATTTCGTGCCCCATTAATATTTTGTCAGGACAACAGGTCATTATTGAGCATGCATTGAGCATTAAGAGCAGTTTTCGTAATACATATGTTTTATCATACCTGTCATGTTCCTTTTCAACAAGGTGATAACGGGCTCGAAAAGCTACCAAATGTGCATAATAAGCTGGAGCAGGGATGGAAACCGAACGTGTACATCTAACGTAAGTATGACAAAGTTGATAAGTCAAACACTGTAACTCATCAGAATCAAAGTGGTTGTCATCCCACAACACATGGTAATGGCTGGGACGAGATGTACCCTGAAAACAAGAAAGAAAATACCTTGAAGAACAAGATCATTATAAAATAAAGAATTCTAATAAATTGCCTTTAGTAAATTACTAACTTGAATTCCCTGATGACTGCAGAGGTAGAAATCAAATTCTGTAGGATGTGTTATTCCAACATCAACAGTGGTCCCTGCAGGAATGTTTCCAGACTTGCCTGATTGTTCTTTCTTGTCAGCACAAAACAGCCTGAGAAAAAAAGTCATGAAAATCAGATATCACTAATATTGGTAGTATTCTGTTATATTACCTTACGACACTGAAAAATTTACTTTGGAAGATCAATTACCTAGTATGGTGTCGCTTCTGAACCACAATGAATGTAATTCCAGGTTTGTAATCTCCTTCTAACTTAATACAGGCTTCACGGATAGCAGTAAGTTCATGTTGCAAAACCTGTAATATATTTTCTAAGTAAATTAACTCATAATTTAATACCCACAAAATAAATAATAGCTTGGCACTTACATGAAGGAACTGGCCCTCCGATACACCGTCTCTATAAAGAATAATTCGATGAGGCTTGTAACCACCAGTGCTTTTGTAGAACATGATGAGAAGTTCCCTAGCAACATAAATATATGACCACTAAATAGACACACAAAATCAATGAAACTTTCATAAACAGTGGAATCTCATTAGCATGTTTTTCGAGGGACCAAGAGCTAAACTTCTGAAATTTTGAAAAATATAGTACAAGTTTGCATATCTTATAGTACACAAGTACTTAAAAGCAACTGGAATCAGGACTTATAGGACATACACACATAACACAACTAGGATCTGCTTGCAAGATGCCCATAGATGCTTTAGATTAGCTAATTTCTAATTAATACTTTCAAATTTAAATGATCTTCCTCGTGACCACTTCGATTGCTACCTCTAACCAGAAATTATTCAAGTCATGGAATGCATTTCAACAGAATTCATTTTTCATCATGCAACCATCCCCTGCAGCAACTCCCTCTATGACTAGTCTCTGCCATCATCTATTGCTTCTTGCAAAAATACCTTCTTTGCGATCATCTACGGACATAAAAAATGAAAAGAACATCAATGTTCAAAAAACTTTGATACATCAATATTTTTATTGGTCATGGTATGGTCAATTATTAGTGAGTTATATCAGTTTATTCATTGAATTTTGTTCTCATGGTTGTGTAATAACAAAAACATTGGAGCAAATGAGATGCATCTAAGATATCAAAATTAAAAATAAGAATTTTGCTGGCTGGAATTCAGAAACTATTCTCAAATTTAAACAAGGGAAATTCAAGATTAGGAGCTGGGTAGAGAAGAGGACACTGTCATCCAATAACATAAATGCTCCCGATTGGATGACAATGTCCCCCTCTCCCTCCAGCTCATGACCTTGGAGTGCCACTGTGTTAAATAGGAGTATACATAAGGAATGCAACATTGATGTATTGAAGCTGAAGTTTTTTGAACATTGAGGTTCTTTTCATTTTTGATGCCCCTAGATAATTGCAAAGAAGGTATTTTTGCAAGAAGCAACAGATGATTGCAGAGAGTGGTCATTGAGGGAGTTGCTGTAGGGGATGGTTGCATGGTGGAAAATGAATTCTGTTGGAAGGTATTCAATGACTTGAATAGTTTCCGGATAGAGGTAGCAATCGAGGTGGTCACCAGGAAGAGCATTTAAATTTGGAAGTATTAATTAGAAATTAGCTTGGATAAGGAAATTGGAACTTTAAAAATATTCATGAGCTTAACAAAATGGAACCTGTATGGTGTAATAAAGATAGAAGTTTTCACAATCATTTTATGCATGTTGCGCTGCCTTCAGAAAGGGAAGTAAAATTTTGGCAAAGAATAAGACATTCAAAATTTTGTTCAAGGCCAGTTGTTTAATTTAAATTAATTATAATGTAATCAGTTAGGAAATGGCCATTAATGCGTTTCGAATTACGTAATAATGCACAGATCTGAGAACAAACATGATGAATGTTGGTTGTATGTTAAGTGTGAATGCAATTGTTTGTTTTTCTTTGATACAATAACTGATGAATATTTACTTCAATATTACTACAATAACTATTGTAATTATTTACAATAGTAATAGTTAGTTGCATATTTTTGCCTCTTTGCTAATTTTTTTCCTTCAATGGAAAACAATCCTAGTGCTTCAAAATTAATAAGTAACGTAAAAGATTGTTTTCCATTGATGGAAAAAAATTAGCAAAAACGATTTCATAAAACGATTTTATGTTTAAATGCCTAAATGTTGCTTATTCTTGTATCTATTTATCAAAATACAATTATCTTTAATAAATTTTTTTTTTGAAAATTGTACTGTCTCTCGACAGACTTAATTCCTAAACATTTTGCAAAAAGTTACAAACAGATCTGTATAATAACTTGATTTGTTTACCAAAAATTTTATGGTTACAAGTTTCCACAACATTTTTATTACAATAATGAACTGATGTACCAAGTGGTTAAATTTTCTTATTGAAATTACTGAGAAAGAAAACAAACTTACCTGACCATAGAACTTAATTCTTGGATGATTTCTTGACGATGTTGTTGTACCCTCACAGTAGCAGCATATCGGCTAGGATGGGCATCCATAGAGCCAACAACTGCAGCAATGGACGGCTTTTTGTTATCTCCAGCTGGAGGGTGGGTTACATCAGCTCCCAAAAAGATCACTGGCTCGTTGAAAACCTAGAAAGCACACTTATGGTTTAATCACACAAACAAGTAAAAGGGTAATTTTTGGCAGCCATGCAAAACTTCAAATACAACATGCATACAACTCCTGTGAAGGTAATATTTGTAAATAAAGCATATAGGTGTGTTAACCTTACACTTCCAGCAGAACCCATTGCTGTAAAAACTGTCACAATGAATTTTAAGGAAATGTTGAAATATTTTTTTATCTCCTTAACACCCCCATGTTTAAATATATAAAATTTCTTTTTCGGGAGAGGAGAAATATAAAGTTATCTCAGCCTGTAGAAGTTTTAAATGATAAAAAAATATCCATATATTTTTATATTTTACAATTCTAAAGAGAATTTTTTCCCAAATGTAATTCTGACTTCTGGAAACAACACTTTCAAAAATTTGTGAATTTGATAAGGTGAATGATGCTATCACTTAAAAAGATGATTGATAATTTCTTGACTAATATTTTATTAACTAGAGAGAGGTAATATTTAGTAAAATCAATATTTTGGAATATCATTTTGATATGCTAAACCATATTTGAAGAAACATTTTAACAAGGATCCAATGGCAAAGATAGGTTAGGAAAAGGGTCGCCACCTTGAAATCAAAAGGGAGGACACTTAGGGCATGGGTATTGCATTATAAATGGCAAACACAATTTATTTCAAATAAAGAGAAACTACAA